AACATTCAGTTTCTGTAGAATATAGGCGGTTTTCACAGAGTTTCTTTGAATATACACGATTCTGTGAGGATGACACGCATTTAGAGTGAATGAACGAATTAAAATCAGAAAAACAATAATGTCTGATTATTTTTCACACTCATCGATTGCCATGACGACGATTTTTTGAGTTTCAAAATATCACGCGTATAATAATGGACCAGATTGCGTTGCAATTTCGATTTTAAGCATTGAGAATCTTTGTGTTTATGAATGTCGATAACAGCCAGACCATGGGAAATTATTTCTGTGTTTCACTAGTCTAACGAAAACTCCACAGCCACAATTAACACGAGCAGAAACCAAGAGGGAAACAACTGACTTTTATGACTTGAAGTCATTTAGATCACGTAGATCATTTAGATCATTTAGATCATTTAAGTCATAAAGTCAGTTGTTTCCTCCTTGTATCAGCGTCACTTTTATTCGTTTGCTTGTTAATGTAATACACAATGTATCAAAGTACGTCCATTGATTTTCTCAAACAAGTAATATAATCTATTTTAAGAATAGTCTGCTTATGAAAAGCTATTCGAATTGAGATTCATTGCAAATTTTTTTTGCCCAGCGACCTACTTGGCAATAGTGTGACTAGAACAAATGAAAGCGTGGTTTTTTTGTTGTTGCTGTGATCAAATGTTAGCAAAGGATAATTTTAGTTTCAACGACGAGTTCTCTCAATTAGATTGCTATACTTTTGATTACTCTGACTAGAAATAATAATAATAGAAATGGTTCTCTTCATTTAAAAACGCTCATAAAATAACAATAAGGAATGAAACTAATACTGCTAATAGCCAACTGAATAGATTTTTTCTGTTGTAAATAAAATGAAATACGACTAATAATGTGAAGGAGTATTGTAATACAGATACTCATTTTTAGGAGACAAAAAAGGTAAATTTGATATGAATATAAGGATTTTTAATCAGGAATAGGCAGTGCATGAGGTAGTGAAGAAAAGAAAATTCAGTTATAAATAGTTTGTGAGTTGTATTTACTCATATAAAATACATAAGACAGATTCTTCAGAAAATCGTTTACAAATGAATATTTTAGAACTCAACACAAGAAAATTAGTAATTTTTTTGGTAATCAATATCACCAACTTCTAAAAAGAAAATAAGGCTATCGTGTATCTCTATTTTCAAATCAAAATGTACACTATAAATAAGACAAATTTTTACTATCTATTTTGTAAAGTTGCAAAAAGTTTTCGTTAGTACTATGTTCATGAATTTTCATAAAGAAACTTTATTGATTAAATGAAATAAAGTTTAACTAAGCTTTGTATTTTTATCTCAAAGGATACTGAATATCTTTTGAGTTCAAAAAGTAGTCACACTTATTTTATAAAATAAAGTTTTATTATAAAAGCTCATACACATTGAAATAAGGCAGAAATTTTGAAAATCTACAAAGGAAATGATACTGTCAGGTTTTGTGAATTCCACATTTTGATCTCTGAACGCGGGCTTCACTGAAAATTTTTCTATAGATTCATAATGACACTCTTGAAAAACTTCAGCAAAATGATCTAATTTACAAGTGAAACAAATTGATCGATCTTCGATTTTCAGTAATAATTTGTATTAGTAAAGCAGAATAAGCTCGCTAGATTTATTTGTTAAACATTAGTTGTAAAAATTAAAAAAAAAAATCTTGCCATACATAAAAAAAGATACAAATAATATTAAACAAAAATGTAAATCAAGAAACAATTGAAATTCATTCATTGAAAGAATTTTACAGCCAATAATAGGCTAGTCATTGCTGCTAAAAGTTTGATCATCAACTTGGTTACTGTTGCTCCATTACATAAGTCGCCTTTGCAACAATATTTCACCTTATCGATAGGTGTACAATCACTACCACCACTATCTCGACTTTCAATTCCCAGTGCAATCGTTTTCTGCAAAGAATAGTATCAAATTTAAGCTTTTGAGAAAGAAAAGTTTTTAAAATTGATATATACATACTTGACAGTAATCATTGTCTCCAACGTTGATTTTACTAACACCTTCTTCATTTCCGTTGAACGGTCTGGGACATGCAGTACATTTATAGCATTGTCTAGCAATGCTTCCAATGACAACTACGTTAAGAAAAATATATTAATCATATTCAAAATGCACAATTTAAAAAAGAATACGAACCTGATAGTAACAGGAAAGTAATGACAAGTTTGCTAGTCATATCGAGTATCAGTATATAAACGTATACAAAAGTAGAATGTTGAAAAACAGAATGAAGTGCCAGCTTATATATGATCGATGTTATCTATTTGCTTATAAGAGAGAGAGAGAAAGTCATCGTTAAAATGTATGCAAGTAGTTAATAGATTTTTTTTGTACTCTACGAACTTTAACAATATTTCTGATATAGACAACTAATATGACAATACTTTAAGGTCACTGACGTTCTTTTTCTATATATAATGATAATAGGTCGCAAAACAGGATGAGTACAAAAGGAAGTCATTTAGTAGATTACATAAAAGGTGAAAAAGATGTACGTGACTCTATGTACACGATTCTAAATGATTAATGAAAATTTCGTTTAATCAAACATTTCTATTTTGTTATCGATTATAACTGTACATTTGTTTTTATTCAATATGTGGCGCGATAGTTTTAATATTTCCTAAATCTTAGATATTGCCCAGAAAAAAGGTCTTACATCTGTTTTTAAAAATTATTTTATTACTAAGATTGAACTCTTAAAGAAATTGATAGTAAATCACTATGCAGTTACAGTACACTTGTTGACATCAAAGTTGTTCATACTTGAAATAATAGTTTTATTGAAAACTTATTTTATAACTTTCTATCTATTAGTTAAATTTGAAAAACATTGAAACATAATACGCATATACACAATAAGATTTGCATAAAGAAACACAAAGAGAATATTGATCACATACAAGCAGAGATGAAGAAGAACAGAAAAAAAGACAGTTTAAGGTAATCAAGGACGAGTAAAAGAGTAAAATAGATACACGTGCCAAAGACAAGGATACAGAATGTTATTTGGTATGATTATGAATAGGATCTTCTTTTAGTTCATATTCTTTGTTATTCAAAGCAAACTTTTATAGATCAACTTGATACTAAACTCAGCGAAGTTTAGATAAATTATAAAATATGTAAAAATTGTTCTAGTCGATTTTTTCGATAACATTTATTAGATGGGCATAGCTTACATAGTGATCTATTCTAAAAAAATAGAAATAAAATATGTCACCAAAAGCTATCACGACACAGATAATAAACCTTTTTTTGCCGCCTTAATTTTTCAACTTTCCTCATCACGATTCTTAAATAAACAAAGTTTCAACAGTCTACATTTTTCACACACTAACCCAGGGCGAGGAATCCTGGACTCGGATCCTGTAGGATATTCCATGGAATCCGATTAATTCCGACGGGGAATCCGATAATTTCCGATAGGAATCCTGTTGGAAATTGTTGGAATCTTTGGTATCGGATTCCGATAAGAAGTTGTTGGGTGTCGGATCCGCCGATTTCGGACAGTCGGATCCTTGAATCGGAAAACTTTGGAAACCACAGAATCCGACAGATTCCTATTAAAGTTTAGTAATCAAATCGAATATTATTTGCAACACACATATTTCAGTGATCTGTTTTTCTTATTCAAGTTCCATCACCTTTATTAATGTTGTTCATCCGTTTATTTTCAAATAGTTTTCATACGCAATGACAATAAAAGTTATTGTACAACAAAAAAAAAACAAGTACTTGAAAGACAAGTTTTTCACATTAACAATTTGTTTCAAAAAAAAACGAAAGATAAAATACGAAATTCTTAATCTGAATGCTTTACTAAATATGTGTAGTTTTATTTGAGAAGTATGATCAGGACATAGATGTGGAAGATTGTGTTGATGTACTTCTACGATCACGCTTACGTTCATCGGCCAGGAAATCAACTAATTTCGGTCGAACTAATTTGGCATAAAATTCGTTGTAATAACTTGCACCAATTTCATATTTGCCACGCACAGCATCTAAATAAAATTCAGATTCGATAGAATAAAAATTTTGATAAAAATCTATGAATAGCTATATATATGCAGCTACCAGTGAAATGCTTAATCAATTGTGGTTTTTAGGACAGAAATTTTCTACTCATACTCAAGAATAATAATTTTTCTTTCATTAAGAATTATTAAAAATGAGCAACCATTACTTTTCTTAAGCAAAATCAGGAAGGCTTTTATTATTATAAATATTGATAATCTGAACTCCAGAAATAAATTCACGTAGAATAATTTTGCGGCGAATAAATAAATAAAATCTGCTACGATGTTATCCGAATCTTATTCTAGTATTTCTAAAGAGTTTAAAATTACATATCATGGAGTAGCTCAAACTTGACACTATCTAAAGGTTTTCGAACATATTGATGACCACCTGGAGGCAAAATTGAAGATAATAATTCTTCATGTGAGAATATAGCACCAAGTGCTTGTCGAGCATAATCACCAATATTTCTTCCTCGAATACGTGATAAATTAATGTTTCCGTGCATCTAGACAATAAAAAGAGCTATAAAATTGAAGGCAAGATAGAAACAAACCACATCGCCGAATTTCTCATGTTGACCCGATTCACGAAAAGAAGAGAGATCAATCTAAAAAAGAACGAATGAAAATTTCAAGTAAAAAGAAGAGTCAGAAAAACTTACGCTATCAAAAGTATGTTTATGATCTATTTTTTTTGATAATTGAAGGAATTGTTTATCGTTTTCTTGTGGAATTGAATTGAATTGAATATCCATATGTTTTATGAGAGAATGAGCTACAAGAAAAATTGATTATGCATTAGCTTTACCATAAAAAGTCAATATTCAAACTTGATGAAGGTGTTAGAAATGCATTATCGTTTTCTTCATCACTGGAACGATCATCGTCTAAAATTGGAAGAAAAAATAATATCGCAAGAATAAAAGCTTTTACGAACACCAAACTCGTAGAATAAATGAAGATTCTAGAAGAATGCTTTTTAAACTATCTTTTTAGAAATTCTCTCTGAAAGTAACCTTAGAAGAAATTTACTAGATAAAAATTTTCAAGTTCTAAATAATAATTTAAGAGTGTCAACGTACTTTTAACATATGTTTGAAAATCATTAATTTTATTTTTTTTTCTAGAATGTAATGCAGAAGAACGATGATGGACTTTTACAGCTGAATCAAGATGAGAGCGTTTTTATTGTGGTGTACGTGGTTGTGTTAAGATATTTGAAGCTAGAAATATAATAATTAATGATCAGCGATAGACAGTTTATCAATAATTAATGAAAAGATTCTCCGTTGATAAGTAACGGTAAGATATAATTATCAAATCTCTTTACACGAGGATGAACAGAATATTTTCATGAAAAACGATTGGCTTAACTTAATAATATTTTCTTAATACAATTCTCCTTACATGAAGTCAACTAAATAAGCGATATAACTTCATATTGCTTACAACCAGTAAAAGAAAATCAGACTATGTTAAAAAAAACACCAGCATTCGAAAACTGATTTTCTTCTACAACTTCAGAAGACTTTGCTTACTTGATAAACTTTTAAGATCGATTGGTTCATCATCATCATCATCATTAGCATTTTCTTCGTCTTGTGAATTATTTGGTTCATCAAAATCTAAAATAAAATCCAGCATTAACTTTTCTAAAAACCTTGGGATAACTTACTATTTGAGTTTACAGTTCGTTCTTTTTTTTTCGCATACATTTCGACATTCTTCACGAGTACCTGAGCAACAAATAATAAAATATCTAATACGATTAACTTTAACAAGCAATTTATTTTTAACATGAAGAATGGATAAAAAAATAAACTATTCTTAGATAGAAAAACTTTGCCTAACCTCGATATACAATTGTTGCCTCCATTCGACGACCATATACCATAATTTCAGCTGTATCATCATAAACACGCTTCATACTCGAACGATTAACAATTATACATTCACCAGTCTCGATAATTTTGCATAAATAACAGTCAGGTTCATTTGTAGTTGTTGTTGGTGTATAAATCTTCTTTTGAGTTCGAACTCGATTATTCATCTGATAAAAAAAGAAAATAAATTTTCGAATTATTAACAACTAAAATCTAAATCAGAATATTAACGAATTCCCAATTAAAAAAACTAAATGTTGTTTTTAACAGTAGTCGAACTTAAATCGGTGCCGAAATTTGATCCATACGCATTTTTATAAAAGATGCATTGAATTACAAATCTAGAAGAGAAGATTAAAATTGAAGTAAAATCATGAAGATTATAAAGTCTTCTATGAAAATAATTCGACTCTTTTGAACGGACTTGAGGGTGTGGGTGTCGGTGTGGGTGTGGGTGTAAAGGAAGAGAAAACCCACACACACACACCCACACCCACACCCCATATACACACCCCACGCCCACACCCACACCCACACCCCACACCCACACCCACACCCACATCCCACACCCACACCCCACACCCACATCCACACCCACATCCACACCCACATCCACACCCACATCCACACCCACATCCACACCCACATCCACACACCCGCATTACTATACCATATACATTCACAACCAAAAATATTCATGTCAATCAAAAATTGAAATTCGTCTCATCTTATCATCACAAGCATGTTCTCTTTCCTCCTCCTCAACAACAGCCTTCGTTTTTGTTTTTTCTCGTGCAATCTTCGCATAGATATACAATATTGATCCGCCGATGAAACAGTTTTTCACTATTAATGTCAAATAGGGCTCATCATATTATAAAGTGTGCGTTATTTTTTTTCTTGCTGAACAATAGCTTCCTCTTATGTTGTTTTCTCCTGTATTCGTTCCACAGATATACGATATTGATGCATTCATCTAATAATTTATCACTCTTAATATCAATTACCGATCATTTTATTACCATCAGTACTGTGTTTATTTTTCTTCCTGAACAATTGCCTGATTTTAAGTTATTTTCTTTTGTATTCTTTCCATACATATATGATATTCATGCATTCAAAGAATAATTTATCACTGTTAATGTCAAGCACGGGTCATCTTATTATGGCGAGTACATTCCTTATTTTTCTTCTTCAACAATTGCCTGATTTTAAGTTATTTTTCTTACTATTCTTTCATTGATATATGATATTCATGCATTCAAACAATAATTTGTCACTATTAATGTCAAATACGGGTCATATTATTATAATGGGTACATTTTTTCTTTTTCTTCCTGAACAATTGCCTCATTTTAAGTTATTTTCTTTTCTATTCTTCCGATAGATATACGATACTGATGCATCCAAAGAATATTTTATCACTATTAATATCAAGTACGGGTCATCTTATTATGACGAGTACAGTCTTTATTTTTCTTACTGGACAATAGCCTGATTCTACGTTATTTTCTTCTGTATTCGTTCCATACATATATGATACTGATGCATTCAACGAATAATTTATCACAATTAATGTAAAATACGGGTCATCTTATTATAACGGGTACATTTTTATTTTTCTTGCTGAACAATGGTCTGATTTCATGCTATTTTCTTTTGTATTCTTTCGTTAGATATATGAGAGTGATGCATTCAGAGAATAATTTACCACTATAAATGTGAAGTACTGGTCATCCCATAATACGGAGCGCCTCGTTCATTTTCCTACCTGAACAATTGCCTGATTTTAAGTTATTATGCTTTGTATTCTTCCATTGATATATGATATTCATGCATTCGAACAATAATTTATCACTATTAATGTCAAGTACGGGTCATCATCATAACGAGTACATTGTTTATTTTTCTTACTGAACAATAGCCTGATTCTGTGTTATTTTCTTCTGTATTGCTTTAATGCATATATATGATCTTGATGCATTCAAAGAAGAATTTGTCACTATTAATGTCAAATACAGGTCATATTATTATAATGGGTACTTATTTTATTTTTCTTACTGAACAGTAGCCTGATTTTATGTTATTTTCTTTTGTATTCTTTCCTGAGATATATGAGATTGATGCATTCAAGGAATGATTTATCAGTGCTAATGTAAAATACTGGTGAAGTTATTATGACGGATGGATTGTTTATTTTTCTTCTTGAACAATAGCCTCATTTTATGTTATTGTCTTCCGTATTCCTCCCATAGATGTATGATATTGATGCATTGAAACAATAATTTATCGCTGTTAATGTTAAATACTGGTCATGTTATAATACGGACTGAGATTTTTATTTTTCTTCCCGAACGATTGGTTGATTTTAAGTTGTTTTCTTTTGTATTCTTTCGTTAGATATATGAGAGTGATGCATTCAGAGAATAATCCACCACTATTAGTGTCAAGTACTGGTCATCTTATTATGAGGAGTATACTGTTTATTTTTCTTCCTGAACAATTGCCTGATTTCAAGTTATTTCCTTTTATCTTCTTGCGATACATATTTGTTATTGATGCAGTCAAAAAATAATTTATTACTCTTAATACCAAACACGTGTGATCTTATTATAATCAATACGTTGTAATTTTTGCTTCCCGTACAATTCACTCATTTTAAGTTATTTTGTTTTGTATTCTTTTCATAGATATGTGATATTGATGCATTCGAAGAATAATTTATCACTATTAATGTGAAGTCGGTTCATCTTATTATAACGAGTATATTTTTCATTTTTCTTACTGAACGATTCCCTGATTTCAATTTACTTTGTTTTATATTGTTCCGACAGATATACGATATTGATGCATTCAAAGAATAGTTTATCACCAGTAAGGACAAATAGGGGATCTTATTATAGGAAATACGTTGTTTTTTTTCTTGCTGAACGATAGCCTGATTTTATATTGTTTTCTCGTGTAGCGTTCTCCTAGATACAATATTGATCCATCGATAGAATCGTTTTTCGGATTGAATGTGAAATACGCATTATGTTGTTATGAGAAGTGCTTTGTGCTTTTTTCCTACTGAATATTAGTCTTATTGTTTTATTATTTTGTCGTGAATTCTTCATATCGAGATACAATATGGATACATGGAGGTAAATGGTTATCAAAATTGATTGAAAATTCGGGTCATGATATTGTCACAGGTACATTTTTCTTCTTGCTGAACGTTAAGATTATTTTATGTGGTTCTTTGTCGATTTCTTGTATAAATTTAAAATATTGATGGGGCGACAGAATAATTCATCAAAGTGAATGTGTGGTACGGGTCATGTTGTAGTTGCAAGGATTTTCTTTCTAAGTAACATTTGGCTGATTTTGTATTGTTTTGTCTTCCATTCATTAGTTAGATATACAATATTGACTCATCAAGAAATTTATCCATCGGAATCAATATGAAAGAGGGCTGAGCTGCTTGTCCCTAGTACGTTCTGTCCGTTTTTTTGTGACCATTACCGTTATTTTTGTATTTCTTTCATGGATTCGTGTTTTAGGAATACAAGATTGATGCATCTGCAATCGTATTCATCGCAATTGCAGGAAAATACGTATGAATTTATTCTGCATAAGAACTTTGTCTTGTTTGAAGCTTTGTTTCAACTGATTCAGTATATTGACGCATGCTTTTTTTATATTTTTCTGTATTGTTGAAAATTTATAATCAATAAAGTGTCGGTTTTGATTCATGAAAGTTTTTGTAAAATGATCTCCGAAAATGAATGTTGTATGATTTTTCTTGAATGAATCTTATTTTTATGAGTTTTCGTTTGGTAATGTGCATTTGTGTATTTTGTACGTTCTTGGTGTTTTATTTTGAGCCTGTCGTAATTGGATGGATAGACGTTGTAACTGGTTGAAGAGATGGAATGGCTTTCTTTGTCGGATGCACTTTCACCGTTATGCGGCCGCGTTTGAGATGATTTTTTATCTTCTTTCACTTCGGTAGATGCTTTTTTATTATTCCAGATGCTACTTTCAGTTAAGAGTAGGAGTGTTACTTTATTTTTATGTTTCGTTATAATAAAGAATAAAGTCAAGAGAATCGTTATCTTTTTTTTATAAAGAATAAAGATAATCTTTATTTTAAAAAATAAAGATAATCTTTATTTTAAAAAATAAAGATAAAGTAAATCTTTATATTTATAAAATAAAGATAAAGATAATCTTTATTTGTAAAAATAAAGTTAAAATAAAGAATAAAGAATGACTTTTGTAAATTACAACAAAATAAATAAATCGTTGTTATTAACAACAGACGATGTCAATTAAAAAATATTTTGTACTGTAGGAATATTTTTTGTCCAAAATAAGTCCTAATACAAAGCCAGTAAAGTGCCAGAAAAAAGGTTATAATCGTATTCATAGTTTTAGAATGGGTGAATGATTAATGGAATTATTATTTGCTATCGATATGATTCTTCTGAGACTGACTTTTATACTAATATCCGTTTGTGATGTTCTTTAAGACTTTTAAAATACGTATCATATATTGTTGCTTACCT